AGTCATAGTCAAGAATCAGCGCCACTAGACTGAGCTTCCTGTCAAGACTTTATTCCCTCATCATCTTGAGAACTCACCCACCTCTCCGCATGCTATCTGAGCACTCAATAAACGCTGGCTGGGAAGGAATCCCATGTCCCAACCTTTAGCCATGCACAGGATGTGGGACTCCAGCAGACCAGCTAATAGGAACCAGTACCAGGTCCCTGCTCATTAAGCATTTATAGGGTACCCTGGTGCACTCAGAGCTCAAAGGCGGTATTTATAAGCCATTGGTTTGCTCTCTATAGATAAACATTTCCCATCTCCTATTTTATACCTGAGGACATTGAGATGCAGAAAGGGAAAGTGGAGGGCCTGTGATCACATTGCAAATCACAGCAGATCTAGGTCAGAAACTAAAAATCTACATCTGGTACCAGTCAGGGTCCCAACAATGGTGACAAACAATGTCTCCATGAAACCATTTCCCGGTGGTTTCTCTTAAATTTTTATTTTCTGTGCAAGACCAAACCATTCGGGTTGTTCTTAATCATGGTTACGGTTGTTTTTTAGTCCTGAATGGAAAGTGACTGAAGATGCATTGCAGTGTCTTAGAAAACTAGAGGAAGCCAAGTCTCTAAGAAAAGAAAGAAGTTATCATTTATAGTATAAAAGGAAAACAACAGCCATCATGTAGAATCAAAAAGATTTGGTTTTAGACTTCCTACTTACAGTCACATCATTTCTCATTTGTAAAAATTATTCCACTTGTAAAGTTAACCACCCGTTAGTGAGTAAGAGCTGTTCCCACTAATTGGGGGACTCATGGGGAAAGCAACATAGTTAGAGGTTAGAGTAATGGACCAGGTGCCCTTGACTTCTATTTCTGGTTCCTTCACTAACTTGCTGTGTGGCCTCAGGCAGTTTCCCCTAATTTTGCTGGACCTCGTTTTCCGCAAGAAGAAAATATCCCTCTCAGTCTTCTTAGGGGATGCTAAATGATCAAAGAAACAATGTTTGCAGAGCTTTATAAAGTTCCTAAATGAAGTGCATGAGAAAGGCCTTGCTTTAATAGGTATTAATTAATAAATTCTTTGGTTATTGATAGAACTACATATTTTAGCTTTTAATTAGCTCCTTGGGCATAATTGGCGATGGGAGTATGCAAAATCCGAAGGGAACTAGCCCAGTCCTAATGATGATCATCATGCGTGTCTGATGTGGCTTTATGTGGAGTCGCAAAGTACGTAGACGTCTTTACATGGTGGCAGGGTTATGATGGCTGCCTGATAGCGAGGCCGAGCCTAGAAGGCTCCCCTGATGTGGCACAGACAATTAGGCTGCTCGAAACCAGCCAGTCAGAGCCCACCTTACGCCATTTACAAGGGGGAGGCAAGGTCCACTGTCTTGTTTGTTTATTGCCTGTTGTTTTTCACCTGTCAGCCTCAGAACAGCATGTGTAGCAGGAAGGCCTCTAAGCTGTGGGGCACAGGGACCCATAGACAGAAACTCCCCAGACCCTCATGAAGAGTACCAGGCCTTTACAGCAAGTGACAACCAGCCCTGGAGGCCAACAGCAGCTGCCCCCGCCCTCTCTGTGCCTGCCACCGTCATACTCCTACTCACCAGTGTGCCCAGCTCCCCAGCCCCCCAACTCCTCCTCTCTCCCCTAAGTGAGGAGGAAAGGATCAGGCCAATGTTCTTACTTGCACACCTCCTCTGCAGCTCCTGGGACCCTTCTAATGTCCAGTGCAAAAGTCCAATCCTGAAAAACTAACTACCCATTCGTTCACCTTACTCCCACCCTCCCTTCCCAGTATTTCATTTGCACAACAAAACAAAAAAATTCATGCTTAAAGCAGACATTGAAGGGGATCCATCATTCTGCACCCTGTTACAAAAATTTCCACACACCATGTGCATCATCCGAGAAATACGCCTGGGAGCCAGGACTCCAGGGTTCACCGCCAAGAGCAGAAGCAGCGTGCAGCAACCTTCCCACGGGCTGCTACAGTGGCCGTGGCTGAGGGGCCCGCAGCACAGTCCAGATGGTTTTGTTTGGGTCATTTGGCAGCCGCAAGGCTCTCCACACCAAGCAACACCAGGGAGCACTTAAAGCAAAGGCTTGGTTTGTGTTTTATTTTGCAAGGAGTGGAGGAGAGATGAGTTGCCAGGGAATGAGTACCTCTGAGCATTCTGCTCTGGGGTTCCGCATCAGTCAGGGTTTTCTCAGGCATGCTCACACCAGGTTTAGCTTTCTTTCTTCCTCCTGGAGGGCTTGAGTGTCCAACCTCTCTGGGCCTGCCCTTCAGACACAGGGTGGGCAAATTATCCCACATGATGCTGAGCCCACACAGAGCCTGCCAGCACCAGCAGGACCAGAGACCGGGGCCAACTACATAATGTGCAGGGCCCAGTGCAAAATGGAGATGCAAGGCCCCTTTATCAAAACTCACTAAGAATTTCAAGATGAAACAGCAGAGCAGTAAACCAAGCCTGGGGCTCTGCTGAGCAAGGGGCCCTCAGGTCCATGAAGGTGGTTCTGCTCAAGGCCCCACTTTGCCTGACCAAAATTGGTGCAGAACTTAGCTGAGGGACCCCTGCAGGGTCCAGCCATCTACCATCCACATCCTTTTCTTTTGAGAAAAGGGGAGAGAAAGGGAGGGGTGGGAGAATGATTCCTTATACTTAAAGATTTCCAGCACACAAATAATCTATTTTTTAAAAATCCCCAAAGTCAGAGCGTGAGTTAGGAAATTTAAGGAAAAAAGGTGTTCGGGTTGTTCTGGAGTTACTCTCTTTGAGTTGCCAGGATTTGGGAGAAGTAAGAACAGTTAGGAATCATAGTAAGATTCTAGTTCATTGAGTGCTTACTTTGTGCCAATATGGTGCTAAGGCTGTATTGCTAAGATCTACCTTAGAGGGGCCCTTATTGCCATTTTACAGATGCAAAAACTGAGGCTAAAGGAAAGTCTAACTTGTCTGAGGTCCAGCAACTTGAAAGCAGACGAACCTGAATTCAAACAGACATAGTCAGACTCTAAAGCCTGCATGCCTGACCAATTTGTTCTGTATACTGTACCAAGGTTATGAGGCCAATGTCATGGAACTGGTTAGTTCTGGTGTTTTTGAGGCTGTGGCTGAGTTCAGGTGGAATGTTTGTAAATACCTAACAGCTGGGGCCAGAGAGAATCTTTGGGTTTCATTGAGGGATTCATACTGGCAGAGCATCAGATAGGAGCATGAGGCTCGGACCTGTGTATTTGAGTAACAAAGACTTTGCTAGAGCATCAGTGAATCTGTGTCTCAGACACAGAGCTGTCTGAGCCAGTGTGGGGCTTTGGGTCGTTTGCTTTCCTAGAAATGTCTCTCCACCTACTTGGAATTGACCTTTAAGAGAAAGAAAAGTACAGTTTCCTTGGGTTTGGGGGTAAAATGCACTCTGAGCAGCAGACAGAAGAGGTGGCTCTACAATGAGATAATAGATGTCCTCCTTCCTGTTACTTATGCAGATAAAATAATTTTAAAATGCCAGAGAGGAGATTGTGAAGATAAAAGAACGCAGCCATTCTAGAGATGGCTTCTTTATTCCAGCCTGGTTTTACATGGGGTGGTAGGTTCACTGGCCAAGCATTGACTAGCAGTGTCCTGGTCCCAGAGGTAGATCAGATCCAGGGAAACGACCATCGCCTCTTTAAGGTGGAGAGAACAGCAGCAGGTCAGAGAGGGCAGGCGCCTCACATCTGAGGACTCCGAGTCTGGAATGAGACCCTTAAAAGCATATACATCCACTCAGTGGGCAGAGAAAGGGGGAGCAGGAAAGAATCAGCCATTCCCAGAGGGAAAGACAAGAACGAGATTCCTGCTTTAGCCCCCTTTCAGCAAAATAAACTCAAATCCTAAATAGTAGGAAGGGGAGGCAATATCCACCAAATATGAATACAAATGTGTGTGCACATAACTTGAACCTCTTGTAACAATTCCTGAAGGGTTAAGTAACTTGCTTTTTCCTCCAGTGAAAGGAACCCTGTTGTTAGAGCAATCGGATGCTGCCCTAATTACTTCCAAACATGACAGTCAGTTTCCTCCTTAACGGGTTCACTGGTCTGAAGGAAGAACGGCCACATGGCCACCAGGGCCCCTTTTCTCCCCTTCTCGCCCCCCTCCGACCCAGCCTGGGGAGACTCCAGCCGTCGTCCAGCAGCAGAACTCTCGCTTTTCTTTGTGCAGCAGGAAGAATGAGCTCGACCAGCTCATACTGTGATCATGAGTCGCCTGCCTGCCCTGAAATCAGGTCCGGGCAGCCCCCGCCCTTCTCAGAGGCTCTTGCACATTAGTGGCAGGAAGTGCAGTCCCGACGGGAGGCTGGGAATGTGAGCGCCTTCCCATTTCAGCACTGGAGGGGGGAGCCCGCTGGCGCTCGCCGGCCCGCAGCTGGCCCTGCCGCCACCGCCTCCGAGGGCACCCGCCCCCCACCGCCTCCTCAAAGGGAAAAGCCTGCAAAGCCGGGAGCTGTCATGGGAAACGCAACAAAGGCCAACCCGAGGGGAACGACTTGAAAAGAACTTGTTCCGTTCCCTGGAAAGACCTGCAAGAAAATCCACACCCACCTTGCCTGGACTTGAACTGCAGAGAGCTGCGTGTGCGTGTGTGTGTGTGTGTGTGTGTGTGTGTGTGGGCGTGTGTGTGTGTGTGTGTGTGCACGTGTGTCTCAGGCACAGACAACTGCACAGTCCCTGCTTTGATAAGGGAACCACCAGCTGTGGAAAGTTAACCGGCAAAAAAGGAACAGCAGCCGTGAGCCAACCGCTCCTGAATTTAAACTACGTTCTTTTCTGTCCAGATATTCCAGTGCGTGTGTGTGTGTGTGTGTGTGCACGTGTGTCTCAGGCACAGACAACTGCACAGTCCCTGCTTTGATAAGGGAACCACCAGCTGTGGAAAGTTAACCGGCAAAAAAGGAACAGCAGCCGTGAGCCAACCGCTCCTGAATTTAAACTACGTTCTTTTCTGTCCAGATATTCCAGTGGAGACAGCTGGAGAACCTGTACTTCAGGGAAAAGAAGTTTTCTGTGGAAGTTCATGACCCACGCAGGTAAGCTTGAAAAGTCCTTTTCTTATGCCAGTGCTTGACTCGCCGGCATAGGAGTTACACTGCTATGTTTGTTATCACTGTTCGTGTTCAGTTTGGGGTGTGGGGAGAGGATGGTGGGTCATGAAAAACGGAGTTCAAATCAGACAGGAAAGCTTCATTTTGTACTGCATGTGTTGATAAATGTGGTGGGTTCAAGTGTGTGTGCTTGCGTGTGTGTGTGTGTGTGTGTGTGTGTGTGTGTGTGTGTGTGTGTGTGTGTGTAATTAACACTTCCCTGACCTGGCCACATGTGTCACTTGCTCATGTGTTTGCAGATTTGTCTGACATGTTAGGATATTGCAAAGAAGCTTTGTGCCACTTCATAACAAGCACCAAATGAAACTGGGCAGTGACCTAAGTCTCTTTAGGAAGCTTTTGCTAGAGAAGAGTCTAACAGATCCCTTGTCAGAGCTTCTAAGAGTGTTTCAGACAGGACAGCCGATACCGAAAGGAATCTATCACCCAAGCACTGGGCTCAAGTGTTTTATGCCTAGAGCTGTAATCTTAGGGTGTTTGCGTGTGGGTGGATGTGAAGGAAATGCTATTATTTTTCCCTGCACCCCACATAGTACCCCAGAAGCCCCAGTGTACAATTGCAGGCTCTCTGAGTCAGATGCCAGACAATAGGGCCCCGGTTTGGAATGCAGCGAGCCCAGCATGGACAGGGTCTGTGCAGTTCATACCCACTGCCTTTCCTCTCTTTGTCTACCACCAGTCCTTGAGTTGTTGGCAGCAGAATTCCCTAAAACCAGGCCTGACACCTAAGAATAAATCACTTTCCATAGATCCGAAAACAGATTTACAACAAGGAGGTAAGACAATACAAACATTGTCTTTGCCTGGGAAGACACTACAAAGATCAGACTCTCTAGAGGAGCCAAGATGGATTTTAGGCATCGTTGAAACTCCAGCCTTGGCCTTGGAAAGACGGGTTGGCACGAACTGCACTTCACACATGGTTTCTAACCCCTCAAAACAAGCTACAATGCCCCCCCTCCCCCAGTGAGCTCAGGACACAAGACTGAGACGTTCCCCCAGCAAGAGTGCTCAGGCTTCTGCAGTAACCTCTGTTCCTGCAGCCAGTGATAACGTGGTAGGATGGATGTGCCGCTTGCCCTGCTGTAATCTGCCTCAAGCAGCAGCTCCTGGTGCAGGCAAGAGCTTATCCTGGTCCCGCAGTTACCACAGGACCAGAAATTGGAGAAGGTTTTCGAGCGCTCATGTCTCTGCAGTCAGGTGAAGACAGCATTAGCAGAAGAGTTGCTTGTTCATCGTTTCTCAGGGTGTTGTGAAGGGTTTCATGGCCAGAGGACCCCTTTTTGGTAGAGCAGTAAAGCTGTACAGGCCAAGGGGTGGGAGGGAGATAGATGCCCCAAATAATATTCCAGTCAAGAAGAAACCCACTGTTACTATTCCAGGTGAACTGTGTCAGACCAGATTCTTAGGCATATGAGCCCAAGAGAAAGTTTAAGTGTAAAAAGAGTGAAATGAATTTTGCACAGTGGGTGAGAGGCAGAAAGGGGATACTTGACAGAATAAAAATTAGGGATTGGATAATCTAAGGCACTGAACATGGGAGTAGACAGACCCACCGTGCTGTGCCGTCTTGGGAATTCTGCTCACTCGGAGGCACATTGGACAAATCCTTTCACCATGCGTGTGTAAGCATGTGTGCGTGTGCAGATGCTCTCTGCTTCTGTCACCCTATCAGTGAGTGATACCAAATTTGCTTCCCTTTCCCAAGGTCCAGAAATATAGGAGAGGGTCCAAATCTTACTATTAAGTGGGCTTTTTGCCTGTTACACAAAAGCAATCAATCACGTTTGTCAAGAAGCGTCTACGTTCAGGCACTGCATTAGCTGTGGCAGGGTACAGAAAGAAGTCTGAGGCAGGGTCCTCTTCCTTCAACAACTTCCAGCGCAGTGAGTCAAGTAGGCAGGAGGAGGCACTTGCACTTAGGGAGGGTCTACCATGTGCAGGTGCTACATACCTGTACCCATTCTCTCACCGGGTCCTCACGTGACCCCATGAAACAGGTATTACTGTATTTCTCTTCTACATGTGGGAAACTGAGGCAAAAGAAATAAAGTAACCTGTTTTAGGTTACAAATAGCTAGGACATGGTAGAGGCAGGATTGGAACCCAGCAAATTTCTGGCTTCAAAGCTCATGCCCTTTACTGCTGTATTATACACAAGGCGGTGTGTACCAAATGCCAAATGATGCAGCCCATGAATGCCGAATGTCATGGCCACCAAAGGCCCAGCTGGTTGGGAGAGGCTTCCTGAGGAGAGATCTAAGCTGAGCCAAAGGGTGACTGGGATTAAAGCCATGACGTGGGCCCTAAGGGGGAATTAGAGGTGTCAGGTGGGCAAGGGAGGGTCTGGCGAGAAGGTAAGTGGGAAGTGGGAGGCCCAGAGACAGCCCTTGATCCCCCCAAGTGTTATCCTAGAGACAGGAAGGGAGGGGGCGTGAGGCAGGAGAGAGGCCTGGGGAGGTCAGAGGCGGACACCCAAGTGGACGACAGCATTAAAAACACCTTTTCTAGATGCTCAAGTTCAGCTACTTAGTTCAGTGGCAGAGCCCAAGCTCAAAACCAGGTCTGAGTCCCACTCAGTTCTTTTCATGTCCTCGTGGTGCTTTTTGAGTTGAATGTCCCCTCCTACTGCTTGTCACCTTTCTGATTGGGAGCAGGGAAGACGAATCTAATCGACCTCACCACTGGGATGATGTGCAGGGGTAGGGCAAGAAGTGCCACTCATTCAGCGACAGTGTCATCCATGGGAAGCCACAGTGACGGGATTATCCAGGGCAGAGGGTGCTTTCTGAGTTGATTGGCACAGGTGTGATGACAACCTTTCCCTGTCGTCCTTTTGCTTCGGAGCACGGGATCCACTATGGACTTGTCCTCCTCTACCCCGTAACTCCATGCCTGCCTTTGCTTCTGCAGTTCCCTTGGCTTGGCGATTAATCCATTTCTAAGGTTTAAGCAAAATAGAAAAGTCAGGGCGAAGGGGAGGGCTTAAAGGGAGAGAGGAGAGTGGAGGAGAGAAATCCATAAGGGAGCAGGAGGAAAGCTCGCGGGTGTTTAGATGCTCCTAGGAACCACCTAGACCTGACCAGCCACTTAACGCTCCCTACGGCCCTTACCTGGAAAAGAGAAGCACCGAGCCTAGTCCAGCTCACACCCCCTTCTCTAAAATACGTTCAAAAGTTCTTTTCCTCTCTAATTCAGCTTTTCTGGAAAAAAAATGTTTACTCGCTCCCAAGAGCAGCAATTGCTATGAAAGCCAAACTGGGAGCTCAGATCAGTTTCTTTTCAATCTCCGGGGACCTCTGGGATCCCGCCTCACTTTCTCACTAGCCTCTGTTCAGTTATTTTCAACTGTTTTTCATGCACTGGCATTTTTTCCTTAACTTTTGTTTGAACCAAAGGGAAGAAAAACCTGCCTAGAATCAGTACCATGAACTAACCACCAGATTTTAATTTTTCCTTAAAAGTGAGGCTGAGGAAGACCCCATCGTTCAATCCCTAGTCCCCAGAGTAAGATGATAGGAGCAGCTTTCAATTTTCTTCAAGGCAGAATTTGCCTTGAAAAAAAAATGCTACTATTCACAAGCCCTGATTACCCCAAGTTTCTTCCAAATTAGATATCTTAATCTTAAGAACACACATTTTTCTTCTGACTTACAGGTCAAATGCTCCAAACCCCACTCCACTGTCCCATCACCTTGTCACACACACGCAGATACACACACACACACGCTCCAGGGCACAAGTGCAAACACATTCTCAGATTTCATGTGCAAAATAATCTGCCTGTTCTATAAAATATATTTCACTGCTAACATAACCATGTAACTCTTTTTTCCCCCAACTTCATGAATGTGGTGAATTATGTGGAGTCCAGTGTATCTTGTTTTCATTTTTAAAGTCTGATTGCTTCTCTCCATACATATATTCTCCATATAGGTTCATAAATGTACACATGGAGGTTGGGGGGATTGTCTGGGATCATTATTCCCCATCTCCCTTCTCCTGATTCCTTATACCCTCCCCATCTCTGAATATATTTGAAATTGATAATCAGATCTCTCCAGGAACATTAAGTTAGATGATATAAGAAGTCCTGATGCCCCCAACTGCTGTAGCCTGTGGCGATTAGGAAAGAATTCACTCATCTTCACTGTAGGCAGCATTGCCCAGTTAATAGAGAGTTTGTCAAAGACTTCTCCTGTCTCGGAAGTTTGTCTTGGCCCAATGCCAGGAGCTGAAGATTAGAAAGGACCATCCAGTGACCTACAATGACCCAATTTATCCCGGGCAAGGCAGAGGCTTGGCCAAATTCTGAACCCTAAGGAGTCAGAACATTGAAAGATAGCCTTTGCTGGCCAGTTTCCCTAATGTGCACATGTGTGTGCATGTGTGCACGCCTATGTTTGTATGTGAGCTCATCTGTCACCTCTGTGTCAGGGATGTTATGACCCAGTGGGTTGTCAGTAATAGCGCTGACTGACAAATGGACTCTCTCATGGTAAACATGGTTGTACCATGTGCTTCTCACTTTCCCAGGGCTTCAGTGACAAGGAGGACGTTCGGGCACAGTGGCATCGCAGTGCACACGTGGTACGCGTGTCCAGCATTAATCAAGTCCATCTGGGCTATGGCCATTAGCCAACACCAGTTCTATCTGGACAGAAAGCAGAGTAAGGTAAGTGACCAGACCTTTCACCAGGCCATGAGCTGGCCCGAGGGTGAGCTGGGGCCATTGTCATGGGTGGGGGAGGCACCATGTCCCTGGCCCTGAGGTACACACAGGTGCGGACTTGCCTTTTAGGGCAGTGGGTGGGAGGACGGTGACTAGCTCTACAAGAGGTCACATTCCATGCAGCTCAGTCCAGGGGCTCCAGCCTAGCCAGAGCTGCTCAAGCCTTTTCCTGCAGGCAGGTAGGGCCCTGCTGAGGAATTTCGACCATGCTTTTGAACCTCAGGAAACTCTCCTAGGAGCAAGCAGTCAAGCCCTTTTTGGTGTTTAAACAGTGGCATATTGTTTTCCTTTTGAAAGAAGGAAAAAAAAAGGTAACCGTTCTCAACAAATAGACATCACCTAACTGTTTAAGGTAATTGCTGTGAACACCCTCCAGGCTTTTTCAACTGCCAACTCCATTTTTAAAAATGTAAAACTGGTAAAGTGAAAAAAAAAAAAAAAGCAACAACCCTGTTTCCCTGAGGTAGACCTAGCGCCTCGGGCCTGGGTAGACTGTTTACCCACCCCGCATCCAGACACAAGGCTGCGTCTTCTGGTGGGTGGGAGGATGACGTCTCCCTGGTTCACACACGGCTTCTGTCAACACTCTGCTCCCTCTTCCTCCAGTCTGGTCCCCCCACAAGCCGCTCCCATTCACTCTCCCTCAGGGGAAGCATCCTGCCAAAGTGGGCCCTGAAACTTCCTCCAGGACACCGCTGGCCTGGGGTGCAATACGGAGCGAGACTGACCTTGGCCCTGGGCTGGTGGGTCCCAGCCCCACAGAAGGTTTTCCTGCCACTTGTGTGAGTTCCTCAGAGGGGGCAGCAGGACCCTGTGCTTACTGGGCCCGAGATTCACTGGGTCGGTGCCATCTTGGGTTCTTCTTTTCCTTTTGTGCGGGGTCTCTCTTTCCTTAGTGGGGTGAGACGGAGGGAGAGAGTCGGAGTGGAGTAGCAGGTAAGAGAGAGAGCGAAGAAAAAGAGGACAGGAAGAACTGAAGTCATCCCCCCAGCCGTGATTCCGTTTTAAATCAGGGCCTGTCCCATGTGGAAGCCACGTTCTCCTCTGTAAAACATTTTTTCCTCTACCAAGTCTTCTTCCTGACCCCTTTTTGGGTCATTTTCTGGGGTGAATGAGTACGGGTTGGAGTGTCTTTGTTTTTAGGAATAATGAGAGCGTTCCATGGCTCTCTTGGCACTGATGGGCCTTGGCACCGGAACTGGGAGCTCGATTAGATCAAAAGAAGCAGGGCCAAGGTGTTTTGAGTAATGCCGTATACTTGAGACGGTAGGCGTGTTGCTCACCAGGGGCAAGAGCTGGAGGTCAGCGCCTTAGAGCACTGATTTCATGCTCTGAATTGTTGGGTGGGGGGTGTTGAGGGGTAGAGGGTTAGGCAATTCTCCTGAGCCCCACTGCCAATTCCTCCCAAGGCCAGACCCCCCACACACTGGTACCACAGGAAAGGAGAAGAGAAAAAGTGTAATTCACCCTACGGACAGTCCGACACTGGCCGTTCGAGCTGCTCCTCCCTTTGCTGGCTTTTTGCATAGAGTCTCTCTCTCGGGTATGCCAGGAGGCCTGTTCTGGGGCTCTTCGGATCATCTCTGGAAGATGGTTTTACTCTGCAGCTGGGAAGTTGTATTCAACAGGCTTACAGGTCAGCCCACTGCTACAACAAGTAAACCTCGAACAGCAATGATCGTACATCACTTATTAACAAGCAGTGTCTTTTAAGAGGTAAAACCAAATGCCCACAGCATTAGGAAAATTTCAGCGGGCCCTCTTAGTAACCCTGGGGGACTGAAGAGGACACCCAAATCCTCAGGAGAAGAACTTCCCCCCAGGAAGCGTGTGCTCACTGCACTCCAGAGCCCTGCACGTCAGCCTCAGTGACGGGGGAGGAGCAAGGGTCCCTATCTGGAAGTTGGGGGACTTTTCCAGCTCGATGACCATGGCGAGTCTTTCATCGTGTTCCCTAATTAGAGAACAGAAAAGAAAATTCCTGGCCAAAATTATTGATTGGTCAAATGGCACAATGTTTGTGAAATTGCTTTAGGAAATGTGCACTTTTATTCACATCACCATTAATCTACTACTATCCCCTGGCCAGCACTTTCGTAAAGTTTAAATTCTCTAACAGGTCCCCAAATTAAATCAGAGATGATGAAATTCCCTGTAGGATTATGTTACAACACCTTCCCTTTCTGGAACGTTGTTCTTCACAGAGCAGTGGGGCAATCCATCTCCAGTGGGCAGTACGGCCTCTGGGTGGGTGACGGCCCACGGGCCCGGCACAAAAGGCTTCAGAATATTTCCAGACAGCCAGTGCTGGCTGGCATCCTGGCCGCTGCTCCATGCTCTACTGTATTGGGCCATGCCAGCCATTCCTTTCTCTGAGGTGCTTCAGCAAAGCCCAGGCCTCCCAAGTGATGTTTATCAACCCCAGAGAGACAAGTGCGGTCTAGTGGTTTGAGTCAGCAGGTGGGGTAGCCAAGAAGTCTCATGTTCTCCCCTGACGCTCGGTATTTATCTTCTTCCTTCAGGGACATTGTGCAAATCATTTAAGAAAATGTCTATCCATCTCTGTCTCCCTCTGTCCATCTCTGTCCCCTGCACCCTCCCCCGCTCTCTCTCCCGCCACCTCTGTCCCCTCCATCAGGTCTCATACATGTACTTCCAGGGACCCTTCCACTACTCAAGGCAGAGTGGAGGGAAGCTGACTGGTCGGTTCCTTGCGGCTTATTCAGAATGAGAAACTGAAGGGCGGGCCTGTTAGCTCAGTTGGTTAGAGGACCACTTTGTAAGATCAAGGTCAAAGGTTAGGTTCCCTGTGTCCCCGCTCCCCCCCAAAAAAAAAACAGAATGAGAAGCTGGGCAGGCACCAGTTATGACTATAACTTACAGATGCTGACCCCAAATATCAGAAATGTCAGCTAGATCCCAGCAACCTCTGTAGCCCAGAGCCAAGGAATGTCTTATGGGCTTCAGAGGGAAATGTTTGAAAGTTCAAACTGTTTAGAGTAAACATCAGACATTTTTCCTCTGAACTCAAAGTGGGGACTTCTTGCAATGGCCTTCAATCCAAACGTCTTTCCTTCTACCTAAATTTCTTCCTGATCAAGTCTGCTCTTCTTCGTTCCATCTGGAATCAAAAGCAGAGTGAAAGCATGGTAGGAGACCGTTAAACCTTGCTCACGGGGTAGCAGTAATAAATCTGAGCAACATTTATAGGGCACTGTTCAGAAGTTTGGAGACTCTTTCAGGTTTGCCCAAAGACGTGACTTTGCAAGCAGAAACTCTTCCTGTCATATTCATCTCCTCTCAGTTTCCTGCCTCTCTCCTCTGAGTGCTAGGTCACTGTGTTATTTCCATCCCAGAAAGAATCCAGTAGTCTCCTAAAGCTTCCAAGAATCTGGTCTCCCTCAGAAAGGAGATCCGTTCTTCCCTTTTCCATATGTTTGTTTTCGGCCTCAGAGATTGATGTGTGGCAGGAGTTGTGGGGAGGAGGTAGATACAGGTTTTGCATGTGATAAATGAGATCCCCAGAATAGGTTGACCCATATCAATCTAACCTCATTTAGCAAACTACTGCCTAATTTATATCCTATTCTAATTTAGTCCTATCACAACTCTATGACGTGGGTTTTAAGGTCTGCATCTTACAATAGGAATCCGAGGATCAGAGAGGTTCAGGATCAAGGTCCAACCATGTTTAACTGGGAAGAGCCAAGATTTTAATCCAGGTCTTTCTGACTTCAGAGCTTGGACCCTTCACCACTGTCCTGACTTGGTCTAGGTCTTCATGAGTTATTACTGCATAACTGTTTAAGGGTGGGCTCCTTTTGATGAAAACATGGGTCTTGGTAAAAGTAATGCTGAAAGAAAAGAAGTCATGGTTGCTGCTCACCGTGCTCACTTGGAGCATAAAGCAAAAGCAGATGCACACTACTGATATGTCACGTCAGGATGAAATAAAAGGCCTTGCCTGCATTCTGCTGCTAGCCAAAATCCTGCCAGGGCCCGGCAGCCAGGATTGTTGTATGAACAAGGAAACCCTAACCAGGGGAAGTCGACCTGGAAGAAGTTGAGGTTAGACAGGAGACATAGTAGAGGAAGGAACCACAGGACAGAGAGGAAGAGAAGACGGTTCGTGCAAGGTCAACAAATCAAGCAGAACTTCTCAGCGTGTCCTCTGGCCCACAGACTTTCGTACTGTTAACATGAGGAAAGTGCACAGCAATCGGAAGTCATCCTCATTCACCGGTGGCGACAGCAACATCAAGGGCAGAGGAAAGGCAGAGCCGCCGGGGCTCCCACGCCTTTGCTGGGCAGCCCAGGGCACCTGGGCAGAGAAGGGAGCCTGTGAGCCAAGGCGGGCCAGCAGCAGCCTACAGGCCCTCCCCAGCCTTCTCCTGCATGCGGGGAAGACCCTGTCACACAGGCCAGGGGGGACCTCCATTAAGTGACTGGACACCCCAATTGTGAGCCTTACCTAGCTCCGTCCCTGTGTGTGCTACAGCCAATGGCTATGGAAAGGCAGACAGATGGGCGGATGTGTGGGTTCTACCATGCCATGTAGTTGTCTTCATGAAGTTCATGGTGTAGGCCAAGCCTGCTGCCTGAAGCACTCTTTAAAAAACTGACTTCCTGAAGAAGAAGAGAAAAAAACAAACGTCAGACACACGTGCAGGAAAAGCGAACACATTTTCCCTTACAGAAGCGGGTAAACAGAGCAGATAGCTTGACTAAGAACAATTACTTTTAGGGATGTAACTTGACTACAGAACCCTTTTCTAATTCTTCTAACCTGCTGTGACTATCAGCCAAATCTGGCCAATTAACATGTGGCCTAAATGGAGTGGAGTTTGAACCATACTCTGAAGACCTCAGCACGTACACGTAGGAAGCGGGCCAGAAAAACAGCGCCGTGTCAAACACTTTATGGTGAGCCCTGACTATCCAAATGAGCACTTGTTCCAGAAGCTCTTACCTGCACACACTGTGACTGCAGGTCTAGAGTGTCATAACTTCATCATCTGCACTTTCCGTGGACACGTGGCTGGCAATCTAAGGGGTTTAAGTCATTTTAGTATTTATTGAAACTTTGTGAATTTATGTCACATATCTCATGTCATTCAGAGAGCTGAAAATGATTCTTTCCTCCTTGCTTAAGCACATAATAATGATAATCACAGCTGTTTGTTGAGAGCTGTGTGCCAGGCAGAAAAGAAAGGGGAGGACAGGACAGGGGACGAGAGGGAACGCCATCCCTCCTCTGACCCTAACCAGACCCTGGGTGGGAGATGGTGTCTCCCTGTTTTATACTTGGGGGTAATGAGGCTCAGTGAGATTAAATAACTTTCCCAAAATCAGGCTCAGAACCATAGGTGCAACAAGTCCATCATTTGTGTATACTTGAGCCACCTCTGCTCCTTCACAGAGTTTCAGTGACTAATTATCAGGCCAAGGGACACAAACATAACAATGCTGCAAGTCGGAGAGGTAAGTCGGTTTGCTGGATTCAAGAGGACGAGCAGGCGAGTGGCTCCTGCTCTGTCTCTCAGGTGAACGTCCCCTCTGTAACCTGCTTGTCTTTCCATTCCAGTCCAAAATCCATGCGGCTCGGAGTCTGAGCGAGATTGCCATTGACCTGACTGAGACGGGGACGCTGAAGACCTCGAAGCTGGCCAACATGGGCAGCAAAGGGAAGCTCATCAGTGGCAGCAGCGGCAGCCTGCTGTCCTCAGGTGGGCGGGACAGCAGTCCTGGTGGTGGTGCAACCCCAGCACAGCCCTGGGGAGGTGGGGACAGCAGGAAGCTCGTCCTGCTGGCCAGCAGCTGGCCCTGGTTTCCAGATCAAGGTTTGGAGCCAGATGGGAATCTGAGAAAACTGCTCAAAAGTATCAAGGGGGGTTGGGGGAGAGAGCCCGCAGAACCACACAGTGTGGGAAGGACTGTCGGTCACCCCTAAGCCTGTGCAAGTACCCCTGAGAGCCTTCCAGAATGCCCGTGACTAACTGTGAGGAATGTCATCTCCAAGGGCAGAAAGAGGGGTTATACGAAGGAAGGGCTCAAGTTCAGGGTCGTGGTGCTGAGAGACTCTCTGTTCTATTCCCAGGTGGACTTTTCGGGACTTTAAAAAGTGTAGCATTCTCGTGCTCATGTAAGAAAGGAGAAACTTGCTGTCATAGGATGTGGTGTCTTGATTAAGCACCTTTTGGGTTCTTTAGGTGGTGGTTCTTTTTTCCCAATTTTATTTATATTTATTTTTGTGGTGTGCAGTGAGCTGTTTCAATATGTGCCTATACTGTAGAATGATTCACTTAGGGCAGATAGCATACTTTGTACTCGTTAGTCCACCCCTTCTACCCCCTACCCCGTCCCCTCCCTAATCCTGGCAACCATTAGAGAGTAGAGTAGTGGTTAAGCGCCTTTTGAAACTGAGAGTCAGAAGATCTAGTTCCGTGTCTGCTTCTGTGAGCCTTGGGCAAGCCATTTTGTCATTAGATGTCAGGAGGTACAGAAGGCTCTGAGCCATTGGAGCATTGGAGTCATTTGCTGAAATGCAGGAAGAGAAGTGGGCTTGGGGAGGGAGGGGAGAGAGGGAGGCAGAAATGGTTTGGAAATATTAGAAACGTGTAACAATCGGAGGTCACTCTCCAGGCCACATGGGAAAAGCCTGATTGACTAGTGGAGCCACGTCACCTTGCCTCTGAGCCAGGAAAATAAAGCGAGAAGAGAAGTCATTACCCTTCCTCAGCTTCCAGGGTAATTTATATAACTATATAAACAACAACAAATAAAAAAGGAAGAGACCGGAGAGGAAGAGGAGCTAAAAATTGTCTGGTTAGCTTCTGGCTTGCGTGATCCACTCATAGCCAGGAACAAGTTCACCATGAAAGGACTGGGGAGAGGATGGACGCCCTTCCTGGACTGAGAGGCAGATTTACCGCATGGCGAGCAGGGCTTAAGTCCAGGGCCATTCACTGGAGTTCACGTGGTCACGTTGTCTTATAAAATCTGCGATCCTAATGCATTTTGTATTGTTTTTCTTAAGTAGAGCCCCCCAAATTATATAAGCTTCAGGCTCTCCAAAACCTGCATCTGCCTCTGCCAGATCAACACGGGGTTCACTAGAAACCTCTCTCTGCCTCAGATTCTTCAGGCTTAGGAGTTTGCAGTGAAGACTGTAGAGAATGTTGTCTTCTTCTATCAGAGAAAATGCCACTCCCAGTCTCCTGCTGAGTGGGGAGGACAGTGCCAAGGCCAACAGCTTGTTTGTCTTTTAGACACAACGTACAGTGGTTCTTCTCAACCCCTGTTAAAGCCCAGAGTCTCAGATTGGAGCCTGGATCTGTCAGCCCACCTGCCTCCTTGCCTAGTCACAGGGAATCCAGCCCGACTCCAGCATGGATTCTTCAAACTTAAGCATTTATCGGAACCACGTGGAGGGCGTGTTCAAACAGATGGTGGGCCTCCCAATCCCCCGGGGTTGCCGGTTCTGTTGGTCTGGGGTGAGCCTGAGAATTTGCATCTCTAACAAGTTGCAAGTAATGCTGCTGCTGCTGCTGCTGCTGCTGCTGCTGCTGCTGCTGCTGCTGCTGCTGCTGCTACTACTGCCGCCGCCGCGCTGCTGCTGCTGCTGCTGCTGCTGCTGCTGCTGCTGCTGCTGCTGCTGCTGCTGCTGCTGCTGCTGCTGCTGCTGCTGCTGCTGCTGCTGCTGCTGCTGCTGCTGCTGCTGCTGCTGCTGCTGCTGCTGCTGCTGCTGCTGCTGCTGCTGCTGCTGCTGCTGCTGCTGCTGCTGCTGCTGCTGCTGCTGCTGCTGCTGCTGGTGGTGGTTCAGGAACTATACTTGAGGGTCACTCCTGCTGAAGAAACAAAACCGTGAGGTGGGGGTATGGTCCAAGACCATGGAACCCAGGTATTTTAAGCCTGGGTCCTGTTCCATCTGCATGGGCCCCCCATATCTGGCAGCATGCAGGGAGTCAAATGCAATAAACTAACAGCAGCTATAGATGAGGTTGTGAACAGGAGTCCCAAACCTCCTGAGATGACACTGGCGTCACGGAACCATCAGAAGTGAAATCCAAGTATCTTCAAGACTAGAAATCTCCACTCCTGCCATCAGGTTGATATTAATAATCAATCTGGTGAACGAGAAGATAAATCCCAAGACAACCTTCTCGTTGAATCTACACCTAATATACAAGGGTACTTCAAAAAGTCTGTGGAAAAATAGAATTAAAAGACAACACTAATCTTTCCAAGAACTTTTTGAAGACCCTTTGTCTATGCATCTGTATCCCAAGATATTAAAGTGAATTTCAAATGTTTCATAATTTGGTGATGAGGTCCCAGGCTAAGATGTTTAAGAGGTAATAGAAGGAGCTCAGGTCACTTGCAGACTGGGTCTAGCGGTCACCTCTAAATCCTTCAGCCCTTGCTGCTGCCACATAGCTAGGCAAGAAGAAACACAGGTGAGGAGAGGGTCCCATGACTCGACTCAGAGCATGTCAAACCCTTCCCAGACCTGCAAGTCTGAGCCTGAAAAACATCCCTTAATGCCAAGGTTAAGCTCCTTGGATGCCCCACCCCCACCCCATGATTTAGGAGCGACAGTCCAGACAATGGCGGGAAAGACCACAAACAGGAAGCATTCCAGAGCATTCCATCACTGAAAGCGGGAATTCCTAGGATCCATAGAGCTTGTCCCCACTCCCGCCGGGCCTGCTGACAGCTGCCCTCTGTCCTCTCTTGTACTGGGAGGAGGAAGCTCTGACCTGAGACAGACAGTGGTTGTCCCCGCAGAAGGGACGAGTTCATATCCCCTGCAATGAGGAGATCTTGCTGTGGGCCTGAACGTCAAGGTGGCTGGCCTGTCTCCCACCCTTTCCTTTTGTGTCCTTTCTGTCCTCTTGCCTGTCCTGTGCCCCCACAGACAGGACAAGCTCACAGGCTTGCTATTCCAGGACAGCCCTGATTTTAAACACTCATCACACTCGCCAGACCTTATATTCTTTCATTTGGAAATGAGGGTACATGTAACCCAGTATCCAATTTGGTTAACTGCTTTCTCTCCTTCACCCCTTATTAGATGGTATCTAATAAGTGTTCCTTTAAAGCTTTTTGAGAAACTAGTCACCATCTGAAAATCCTTTCTTCTAACCCTGGACCAGTGCCTGACACCCAGTAGGTGCTCAATACACAGTTACTAAAATTAAATTTTGAAGAATACGGGCCGGCCCGGTGGCGCACTGGAGAGTGCGCCGCTTGGGAGCGCAGCGGCGCTCCCGCTGAGGGTTCGGATCCCATGTGGAGACCGGTTCCCGCTCACTGGCTGAGCACGGTGCGGGTGCAACACCGAGGGTTGCAATCCCGTTACTGGTCAGTAAAAAAGACAAAAAGGAAAAAAAAATTTTTTTTGAAGAATACTGGTAAGACTCCTGCATATGCTGTACTTTAGGAATCCTCCATGTTCCCTGAGTGTGGTATCTTTGGGTCTTGCTAAGAACTCTCATATGACCTGCCACCAACATTTTCCCTCAAATTGTGCTGTAACCCTTTGTCATACTGGTATTAGACCTTTAAAGGTTAATCATATCAAATCAGCCTTGTACTGCAGTAGTGTCCATCCTTGTGATCTTTCATGTTTCCTCCTTCCCTTCTCTAGATCCAAATGGTGGTGTACTGAGCCATGCAACAACACTGTAATATCTCTATGACACAAACACTTTTTCTAGCTCCAATCTATGCTAGGTACTATACACAGCATTAAAAAAGTTATAGCATTTCTTTGCAATGACTTTGCATACTGTTTATTGATGTAATATGGAGATAAAATATTTCCAAGCTGCTATAACGTTGAAGGTGGTTTTCCTATTTGAAGGTACATAATTACTTTTAAAATTACTGAAGTCCAGTACTTGGTATCTGAAGCTCCAGATGCTAAAGAAATGTCATTGATATCTATGGAAGAAGTCAGAAGTTCACACTTACTAATGCCCTGAGCCATGGGCTAGCATTTCAAAAAGAGAAGGTCAACATAACTTGAAATGATTTATGAAGACTTAGGGCCAGGACACCCTGAATCCTGCTGTAGTGAGACCTGTAGAACTGTGTCCTAGTGGAGAACCTTAGAGGTTGTGTATTATCTTAGCCAGAGCTGTCAGCGCATGTTGGAATCAAAGGAATCAAACTCTTACCTCCTGATACAGCACTGTGTGGCATTCCGATCTGAGGAAGGTTATGGAACCTGGGACCTAACTCCATTTGTGCGGGAGCTCAGTAAACCTGCTCACTGACTGCTGGAGGTGAGTCAGCAGAGGACATTTTATTCAGCCTGTAAGAACCTACATTTCTCCAAACTTGTAGATGCCTCTGTCCATTGCCTCTGTGTAGTGCTTCATGAAACACATTTTCAGAAGATTCAGATACAGTTTGAGAGGACAGCTATGCAAACCATTTGGTTAAGATGTTTCATGGCGGGGGTGGGGGGAAAGGCTCCAAAATCCTTTTTGTGGGAACTTCAAAGCGTTTATTCCTCCCTTCCCTTCCCCCACTACTTGAAATCCCAGGAAAGACTGCCGGGGAGAAAAAAAAGCAAATAACAAAACAAAACAAGAACAGCAGATGCATTTGTCACTGTAGCTGAAGACACATGGCCTTTTCATAGCTTGTCCGAAAGTGGGAGAGAGTCTCAGATTGGTTCCAAGCATTGTTTGGGGGATTTTCCATCACGGAACAATTC